GGGGGGGAATTAGACCTTTGTTATTTTTACGGAGTTTTCGGTTGTCAGCTCTGTAACTTGCTCGGTTCTACACGTCCATGGTCTTAACTGAGGTGCTTAGTAAATATGCTATTTGATTATCTAGTTTGAGGAATGGAGGAATCTGATCATTCTTACATTTGTATTGCCAATCATTATCAAAGAACAAAAAGATGCTAGTTTGATGCATAATTTGTGCTCTATGTTTTCTTAGGATCGGTTGAAAACATTCTTCAACTTGTATGCATATGTTGGTTTGTGATTGAAGAACACAAAAATCATCTTGCTTCATATCATTTCTTTTCTTTTTGGTGTAGGAAGTGTGTCTCATTTGTTCATTTCATTTCTGTATCATGCAGACAATGAGTTCTTCTCCCCAAAGAAGTCACCTTTTGTCTCCGTAAGTACCATCGGATTTGATGCTTCACAAACTTGAAGAAGTTAACAAGTCGGTGAAGGTGAGTTCTCTCGAGATACCCATTGAATGACATATTTTATTCAGGAGACGTAGGGCATGTTTGGTAATCTTAAAACATTAACTTATATGTAAATAAGTTTTAAAGTTTAAATTGATTTTTGTATGGTTAAAATTGGAGTGAGGAGGTTGCTTATGTTGATAGTGAGTTACCTTCAAAATAAGTAACATTTTTAACTTATAATTAAGAAAAGAGCCAGTTATTCTAACATGTTCGAGTGAGGTTACTATTTTGCAAGCTTAGGCAAAATGCTCTACAACATTATGTTTTTGAAATCCATGATTGTTCTATTTGTTTAATTGCATTTTGAGTTCATAAATGATTTTCTTTCTTTTGATAACCAGAAAATTGAGTTTCTTATGGAGAAGTCTCAGGCCTCTCCTGCATTCAGTTAAAAGAAGTTGGTTGTACCCCAACGACACCCCTTGGTTACCTAGTCCGAGATAGGAGATGAAAGAAGCGATTGTAGACATGCCGTTTGTACATACNTTGTTTTACCTTCAAGTGGTTTTAATTTCTGGTCTCAAAACTAGGAGGGGTCTAGAGTTGAGCATTTATTGTTATGCTGGCAAAGTATGCCATGTTACGTAAAGGTGGACAAAATGATCAAACCAAACCGAGCAGTTCGATTCGATTCTACAAAAAAAAATTATGGTTTTGGTTATTAGAATCAAGAACCATTTAGTTCTAGTTTGGGATTGGTTCCAGTTCTAGAACTCGAACCAAAAATTAGATCTAGGAAAAGTTAGATTCTAGTAGATTTAAAAAGACTAAGTGGATTTATACTCAATGGATAAGGGAAAGCAAATTGTAGCTACTAGTAGTAGTCTAGTACATAATCATTTACTAAGGATTAAGTAGAAAATGAATATGAGACAAGATTAGAATCTTTAATAAATATAGAATAACAGATAAAATCAATTAGACAAAACAAATTGAAATTAGCAAAAGCTTTAGACATATAAAAAGGAAAATATTTTTGGCAAATTATTAATAGATCAACATTGTGATGAAAGATGTGTTTCTTGTACACATGAATATCAATTTATACCGTTAGATTTAATAGAAAAAGAATCTTATAAAGAAATTGTTAATAAAAAATTTCAACGAACTCATTTAAGATTAATAATGGTAGGAGTAAAAGGACTTTACAGAGAAAATTTAGGAGCCAAAGTATTAGTATGTTTATATGACAGCAGATTCACATACATAGAATAAGGACTATTTGAAAGCATAGAATTAGATATGAATAATTAATGCGGAATAATATATTTTACACCTGATTATTTAGTTAAGACAAAATGTTTTTAGAGAGACATTGAAATATGAATAAAAAGTAAAGGATATCAAATGAAAAGAGATGAAGACAATTTGTTAATTTGTACAGGATTCATAGGAAGACTTAGTGAAAACAGTACTACCAATTATAAATTAGAAAATAATCAAGTACTTACTTTATTAGGATAAAAGGGCATAAAAACCATCCTAGAAAAGAAATTCTCTTCGGAAACAAATGCAGAATTAGATTGGAACCTAAGAAATTTTTTAGAAAGATTGATATTGGTACCAAAAGATGATATCATGTACAAAAATAGTAATGAAACTTTAAGTCTTAGATTTGAAAATTATAATTATCAAGCATAACAGACCAAACAAAATGAAGATGAGGATGAAGAAGTGTGTAAATATATGGAAATAGAAGACTAAGAAAGTGACGAAAAAATTAATGCATTAGACAAAGACAGTGAAGAAGGCGAATGTGAAGATGATGAAAAAAATTTTGGATATATGGATATGGAATATTATAGAAATTTTTAAAAAACTAGAGAAATAGAAATTAGAATATAGTTAGAAAAAGATCAAACAAATATAAAAACCAAGATAGAAGAAAGCAGCAAATGTAATAAAAGAACTAAATTAAAAATAGACCAAGAATTTGAAAAAAGAAAAGAAGTCGTGAATACAGAATATGACATAGGAGGAAAGTGTCATTTTTCCCTGCAAAAGTATATGAATGGGAAGACAAAAATTATAAAAGCTCAATAAAAAGATAAATAGAAGAATGATATAGTTTACCAACAACAAGTGACAGATGATTAATTTTAGAATTAAATAATTGTAAATTTCAAGACAGACCTAGTACTATAACTAAATGACAGGAGGAGACAATCCCAAAATTTTTACAAGCTTTATTAGAGAAGTAATTATATGATCTGACCCGATAGAGACAACATTTATGAACAAAATTAGAGTTATCAAAGAATTAAAAAAATTAAGCATTAGTAATACAAAGTACACACAACCATTTTTGTTAGCTTTTGAAAGACTAGCGAGTGCACAGGATTAGCAATAGATATACTATACTCGACAGATTATATAGAAAGACACAACCATCGTGTAATGATAAAATTAGAAATGTTGTAGAATCAGCACCAACAATGAAGGTAACTATTAGCGTTACTATAAAATTTATAACTCATACACTAAAGAAATATTGTATAGAAGAAGTAGCTAGAAAACAAATAAAGAAATTAAACTATTCTTTTTGTTCAGATTTATATACACCACAAACATATGATATAGAAGAAGAAAGAACATAAAAGACAATTCCAAGATAGGAAAAGGTATAATATTAGACCAAGCAGGACATATTATAAAAATAAAAAATCCAATTATAATAAATATATTAAAAAGCCAAGAAATAGAAAAGATTGTAAATGTTATATTTGTGGAGATCCTATATATTTTGCTAATAAATGCCCCCAATAAAAGTAAGAGTAGAGAAAATATAATTAAATCTATGATAATTGAAGAAACACAGTGTAATATTATAGAATTATCCAATAATGAATCTTGTAGTTCAACATATAGTATTTACACAAATGAAAAATTAGACAATTTAGAAATAAGCAGTTCAGAAGACAGTTGTAATAGTGTAGAAGAATTAGATTTTTTAATACGCAACATAAAAATGATGAATATAGAACAAGAATGTGCCCATGAATGTATTAGAGGACAACGATCAATGATGGATAAATGTAAAATAAGTAAAATATATTGGTAACCCTCATTCAAACTTTCAATACCATGGCCAAAAATCAACTACTAATACATTGATTCATTCTGATGTTTATCGATTACCTCCGACAGTTGCGAATCCTAATTTGTCTGCCTCAATTCGTGAATCTCACAACATGGAATCAGCAAATTGGCTTCAGTCGAGTCTTCATCATGCCCTTAAATCCATGGGTAATACTTCAATTTCATCAATTGCTCCAGAAATCGCCCCAAATTCAGACTCACATTTCGCCCCCTTCTTACGCAAACGAACGGTCTAAACTTCACTCCAATTGGTCCATCTACTGTACTCCAATCCTCCAATTCAAACATGGGTAATCTAATACAGTCCCATACAACTTTGGGTCATGATTTAAATTGCTCCAATTCATGCATCGATTCCGTCAATTGTGCAGTCAACTTCTTTTGACCATAATCAATTTGTCCCGGTGGAATCTGTCGATTCTGCTCTGATTCTGGGCATGGGACGATCGGCAATAGATCAGGAAGTCTCGTAAACCTCTAGGGTGATCTCCATTGAGTCTAATTTGGTCAAAAACTTCGCTTTGGGATCCGTGTCTAAAGGCACGCAAAATAAGGCAGCTAATTCAATAGTTCCTGGGTAGATTCAAGTCGTTACATCCCTCCCATTGATCTCACCAGCTCCAAAAACCCCTGAGGTTGTGAATTTAACTTCCAATTTGAAAGGAATTGAAACATTAAACAGCGTGCCTTCGTATAAACATCAAGAAACTCGACCAAAATTTGTTCCTCATGTTTCCCAGGTCAATAATCATCAGGTCGATCATGTTAATTCACATCCAATTCCAAAACCCCAAGCTCTTCCATCTTAGACTACGCGTGTGCACCACGTACCAACCCGTGCTGCACCACAAGGCACAATTATTGCTTCTAGGATTTATACTCAAGCTAGGCTACCACCTGGTTAGACATCACAGGGTCAAGATAATAAATCATATGATGCTGCCCTTTTAGCCAAACTTGTTCTCTCTCAAGCAGAAATGAGCCAGGGAAAATCTTTGCACCTATTCTTCAGGCTCCACGAGATTCCAGCGATCACAGAATTGCCACCAAGGAACCCTTCATGCATATAGGGGAGCATGCTATTGCCTTTACTGAGGAGGAGAAGGAGTTGCTATTTGCGTCATACAAGTTCACACTTGTTGGCAAATTCTCACACCGTAAGCCTTCCATGGTCATGGTACGTGATAGCTTTCAGAAATTCGATTTTCATAGTGATTTTATGATAGGCCTTATTGATGCTACACATATTCTAATTCATTTGGTGAACGATGATGACTACTCACGATTATTCATCAAACCCACTTGGTATATTGATGGATGTCTTATGCGAATTATTAAATGGACGTCGAGTTTCAGCCCACAACATGAGAGCCCTATTGCACCTATCTGGGTTTCTTTTCCTCTATTGCCCATTCACTTTTGGGCCAAGAGCAATTTATTTGCATTAGCTAAGGCAATTGGAATACCGCTTCGCATTGATGTGGCAACATCAGATCTATGCCGACCTAATGAGGCTCGGGAAAGTATTGAGGTAAATTTGGAGTATAAGCTTCCTAAAAAGATTTGGATTGACAGGGAAAAATGTGGTGGATATTAGCAGACTATCCTCTATGACAAGAAACTGGACTATTGCTTTCGATGTGAACACTTTGGTCATATTGATGAACACTGTTCATTTGGATCACGTCCAGTACTACTACCTATTACAGTCACACTTGGTGACTGTGCTCCTAGGCCTACTGATCAGGCTAAGGACATGGGAAAGGGTAAGGAAATACTTGTTTAGCCTCATAACCGATGGGTTCCTATCCGCAGAGAACATCAAGGATAGCATACGGCTAGCACTTCAGATAATCAGTTTCAGTCTATCTCACAGCCCATACCACCAGTTGCTATGGTTGATAGACCAACTCCAGATGGGACACATGCTCAAGTTTAGTCAGCTGCTCCCTTAGTGAGTCCCACGGATTGTACAGTTCAGCCTGTTCTAAGTTTAGTTACTCATGAGATTAGTTCTTCATCACCATCAGTTCCTACTACAGTTGCTTCTATTGGGGCTTCACCCCCAGGGAGTCAAGGCCACCCATACTTCATATTTTGATCCCTTTATGGATTTTATGGTTCGAGAACTACTAATACCAAATGACTCGGAGTTTGCAGGTATCAGAGGTACACAAATTATAGGTCCATCTTCCGCTCGGACAAGACACCTATTACCACTACCACGTCTCCTATTTGCAAGCAGAACATTGAGGCATCTACCCCATATCTACAGTCTTAGAAGTCAGATATG